TTTGAGAGGATGGGGCATTGAGAATAAAATATTCTCAGTAACTGTTGACAATGCATCTTACAATGACTCTTGTGTTAGAAGTTTGAAAGAAAACATGTCATTGAGCAGTAAGTTAGTACTTGGGGGGCAACTTTTTCATGTTAGATGTTGTGCTCACATTCTGAATTTGTTGGTGCAAGATGGCCTTAACACTATTAAAGATGTCATTCACAATGTTCGTGAAAGTGTGAAATTTATAAATTCTTCATATGCAAGGCTAAAGTCATTCCATGAAGTTGTTGAATTAAAAGGATTGAAAGAAAGGAAACTTATTCTTGATTGTCCAACAAGATGGAACTCCACATTCTTGATGTTGTGTATTGCAAGTAAATTTAAACATGCATTTTCAGATTACACTGAAAAAGAGCCACATTATAAGTATGCACCATCATTTGAGGATTGGGACAAGATTGAGAAGGTTTGTAAACTTTTGGAGGTTTTTAATGATGCCACTCATGTCATCTCAAGTAGTGATTATCCTACTTCTAACTTGTTCTAGCTGAAATTCAAAGGGTGAAAAAGGTTATTGATAATGCAGCTGAGTGTTTTGACATGTTCATGAGTGATATGGCAAAACCTATGAAAGCAAAATTTGACAAATATTGGGGGGAGTGTAATTTGTTAATGTCTATTGCGTGTGTTTTAGATCCAAGGATGAAACTGAATGGTATTAAAATAACTTTTCCCTTATTGTATAAAACACCAAGTGATGCTGAAAATAATGTGGAGAAGGTGAAAAAGGCATTAAAAGATTTATATCTTGATTATGTGAACTTGTATAGTCAAGATGCTTCTTCTACTAGTGGACATAGTGAAGTCAATGTTGAAAGCAGCACTTTGGTTGATGGTGGACAACTAGTGGACATAGTGAAGTCAATGTTGAAAGCAGCACTTTGGTTGATGGTGGACAACAAATGGATAAAGGGATGCAAGAAATATTGAGTATGATTTACCAAAGTCAATCAATTCCTCTTACGAAATCAGAGTTGGAGACTTATCAAAGATGGCTTGTGATATACTAGCTGTTCTTATTTCAAGTGTGGCATCTGAATCTACATTTAGTGCTGGGGGAAGAGTCATTGATGAATATTGTGCTAGCTTAAATGAGGAATCTATTGAAGTTCTTATTTGTGGTGGGGATTGGCTTCGTAACAAGTATGGGCTGAAGAAAAAACAAAAGGGAAGAATCTACTTATTACTTTAATATTTTATATTATTTTATATTACTATTTGTTACTTTAATATTCTCAATTTTTTTCATTGTGTAGGGGAATTCTGGACAAGAGGAGATTATGTTGAAGCCATGACATGTTTAATTTTATGTTTGAATATTATTGTTGTTATTATGTTTAATGTTTCATGTATGTATTGTGGACTTATGATTTCTGTTGTTGTTAAACTTGTGAATTTGTGGACTTTTGTATTATGGACTTGTAGACTTGAAGTTATCAAACTTGTATGATTTTTGTATTATGAACCCCTACTTATTAAACTTGTGTTGTTGGACATTTTATTATAAAATATGAACTTGGTTTTGTAGTTTATGATTATTGGTTGATTGTAATTTAATAATATTATTATTTTTTACAGGTGTATATTAAAAGTCTTTAAAATGTAGGCTTTAAATAGGCTTTGAGCCTATTTAAATACTCTCAAAGCCTATTTAGAACCTACTTTGAAGCCTTTTTAAAAGCCTATTTAGTAAATAAGCTTTTAAAAAGGCTTCAGGCCAGACCAGGCCTACTGCAGGCTCATGCTTGAGCCTAGAAAAAAGCCTACATACAGGCCCAGGCCCAGGCCTAGGCTTTACCTTTTCCTAACAGGCCTAGGCCTAATTTTTAAAGGCCTGGCTTGGCATGGCCCATTTTCACCCCTAAGCATTGGTAAGATAATTTTTATCATTATGCCTCCATCGAAATAAATTTTATTCCTTCATTATTTATATATAGCTACTTGTCAAGTGGTTAACAAGAAGAGTTATTGTTATATAATGTTATGTACATGTGTATCTCACTAACTAGCTATCTCATGATATTATGTGCACTGTGGACCTTTTTTTTTATTATTATTATATCAAATAATATCATAAAATTCATCATATTGTGGTTATGTTGAATACGTACTTATATATTTACCAACTTTTTACATGTAGTTTCAACAAGTTGATTACGACAAAACGGTTATTGATCTGGTGTGTTCTGAATGGGCAAATATTGTATCAAGTTATATAGAGTAGGTATGGTTATGATGATTAGAACTTTGTGAACATTTAGACTTGGTTCTTGGAATTATTTTTTGAAGTATTATGACTTGGATTGTGATTGGATTGGAATTAATCATTGAAGTATTTAGACTTGGTAATTAGTTCCTTTGTATTTTAAACGTTAGTTTTTGCAAAATTGTGTAAGTACACTTGGTAATGGTGATTGGATAAATTGTTTTTTATATGATGTTTAAAATTTAAACATGTTAAAAATAACGGTTTAAAACCGTTGTCTTCATATATAAGATAACGGTTAAAAACTGTTGTCTATTCTTCAAATTATCAAGAATACAGCAGGTTTCAACAACATACAATAGACAACGGTTAAAAATTGTTATTTTTTCTACAAAAGACAACAGTTTAAAATCATTGTCGATGTGCGTGACTTTTAACAACACTGGTAATAGACAACGGTTCAAAAACCATTGTCTTTTCTAGAAAAAACAACGGTTTAAAACCTTTGTCTATGTGCGTGACTTTTAACAACAACGGTTTTAACAACACACAATAGGCAACGGTTCAAAAGCCGTTGTCTATGTGTGTGATTTTTAACAACACTGGTTTCAACAACACTCAATAGACAACGACTCAACAACCGTTGTCTATGTGCGTGACTTTTAACAACACCGATTTCAACAACACTCAATAGACAACGGTTCAAAAACCGTTGTCTTTACTAGAAAAGACAACGGTTAAAAACCGTTGTCTATGTGCGTGACTTTTAACAACACCAATTTCAACAACACTTAATAGACAACGGTTCAAAAATCGTTGTTGTTTCTAGAAAAGACAACGGTTAAAAACCGTTGTCTATGTGCGGGACTTACAACAACACTGGCTTCAACAACAGAAAATTTACCCCTACGACAACGGTGAAAAACCGTTGTCTATGTGCATTTTTCTTGTAGTGAATCCTGAAGATTGGATTTTAAAGACCGACAGATGTACTCTCTTTCCTTTGATTGAGTTTTGATATAATTTTCTTAATTAAAGGTGTTTTAACGAGGTAGCTAGTGCAACACATGAATGTATACATATCATGTACTCTTTTCCTCGCTATGTTTTTCCCATTAGATTTTTCTAGTGAGGTTTTTAATGAGGCATGAGTATGATATAGTAATTAATGCCAAAAGGGAAAAGTTGAAAATAAATATTTAAATAGACATACTCTAAAAATCCTGCAGATTATGCCCTGAAGGTTTAAAATTGATTTATGGTTGTACTCTTTTTCCTTTAGCTAAGTTTTTCCCACTGAGTTTTCTTAGACTAAGGTGTTTAATGAGGCAACTGGTGCAACACATGATATCACATACTTTGTGTATTCTTTTTCTCAACTATATTTTCCCCACTGAGTTTTCAAGCAAGGTTTTTAATGAGACATGAGTATGGTAAGATAATGGCAAAGGGGGAGTGTTATAAATATTTATTTTGATATGTGGCCATTATCTCACTCTCTCCTACTTCTATGTTCTTTGTGTACCGTTATCCCGTGTGTATATATACAAACAGTTATTAATGAAAATGGATGTTCGTTGGTGTTCTACGTTCAATTTTAATTTGCTCTTCTCCTCTCCTTCTCTCTTCTTCTCTATTCTGGTTTGAGCGTACAATTTCACAGGATTCACACGAGATTACGTTTTGATTTACAACCATTTTTGTCTTTTTCTTTTTTGTACATATAAAATTAATGCATAAAATAAAGAATATATTATTAAAAAAATTAAATGATACTCATATTGATATATTATTTTTTAAAATTCTTTTAAAAAAAATTATATATACAAATACATAAAGTCATTACTTTAGTTTAATGTTTGTGTTTTACATTTTTTTTTTAACGTATAGAAAGAACATTATGAACCTATTATAAACTGAATGGAAATACATATGATGTACATTTAGTTAAGTATGTGTTTATTAACATTAAGGTTTAGGATTATATACATATAGAATAAATATTATGACCATAGTGCAAGATGAATATTATTAAACATCTGTAATATAATGTTTATGTATGTTAAAATTGTTTTTATGACAAACCTACTATAAACTTAATCAAAATAAATATATGTACATTTAATTTAGTATTTATGAACATATAAAACAAATATTATGAATATAGTAAAGAATGATATCATTAAATCTAATGCACTTCTAAACATTTGAAATAAAACGACGTTATTTTAGATTAGGGTCTACCATGCAAAATAGACCCTAGTCTACAATATAATTTGCCGACAACTTTATAACAAGTTAATCCAGATAAATATGTATAAGATAACTAATAACTAATAATAATGGTGCATTTGGTTAATATTCTCATTTGACATTCATATCAGACAACTAATAATAATGGTGCATTTGGTTAATATTCTCAATTTGACATTCATATCACACTACTAAAGTCTAAAGATATAACTCAAAATAAAGAAATCAATATTATAAAAATGTGATAGTATTAATATTTGGAGCGCATAAACAAACGCGTGCATGCGTGTTAAACGTCTGCCGGCGCCTAACAAAAATTCTTCCCTTTTATATCAGACGACCATTGTAAGTAGTAAAGATAGATATAGAGGTTTAAATCATCAAAGCATATATGACGTTGTTATTATTCAATTCGCATGTTCTCTTCTACTTTCTCTCTCTATATATAGCTGCATGTTATTCGTCATTACAAGAACTCAACATCTTCTAGGCTCCTCCGATCCCAAAATATATATATACGCAATTGGTTTTAGGTTTTTTTGAGGTTAAACTTAATTGCTAGCTTCAATTCATTATGACTTCCAATCCACATTTTGAAGGAAACCCTGATTTATTTTATTGCGACAAAAATCTGCAGGTATATTTGCTTGCTTTTCACCCTCTTTAATTTTAATAAATTTTATCCTTTTTTGTTTATGTATGTTGTTGAGGCATAGCATTGTGTAAAATTTTCTTGTTTAATTTGCAGAAAACAAAAATATATCCGGGGGCTCTTAGTATTGTTTGGGGCAACGATGGACGTTACTGGAAGCCAATAAAGCAGACCAAGCCATCCTACGCCGACGGGGAAATGCCCCCTGCAGAACTAATACAAGTAAACTGGCTAGAGGTGACTGGTTCAGTTGAAGTGAAACGCAACAGGAGATACAGTATTCAGTTCCAAGTGTCGCTGACGCAGGACGCTTTCGGGTGGGGAAACTCTCCAGTCTATTTTATGGCCAAAAGGGACGGCTGTTCTAAATCCCAAGTTATCTGGAGAAAGTGCAGTTTATCATCAATGACTGCCGGTCGGAAAATATATGTACCCGGAAATTTGGTCATCGATTCTGGGAATGCCTTGCAGCTTCAGTTCGGCTTGTACGAAGTCTGGACCGGGAAATGGAAAGGGGGACTAAAAATTCATCACGTTCTGGTTGAACCCGCCGCCCTGTAAGGAATCGGAATATTATTAAAAGCCGGCCGGATTTGAAAGGTGCAGTGACCCGATCTTATCAGAGCAATATATGCAAAAAGGTCGAGAGATTCTTTTAATTTGCTTTTCTTTCTTTATTTCATGTCATCAAGGGAGCGCGTACAATGCAATAAAGTGGAGAGAATGATTTGCATTTCTTTATTCATTTTCATGTAACGAATGTATAGCGATTACCTTGCAATTCAATTAAGCGTGTAATGTCACTTACATTAATGAAATAATGACTGAAATTTTTCTTAATCAACAATCTGTTATAGATTTCTTAACAAATTTCTATACTTAATATTTTTAAGTGTATTATGCTTAAGGATTGAAATTGGCATTGCATAGTTTTACGGCTACAAGATAACCAGTCGGCGGGTCAATACAACCGTAAAACAATATATGCTAGAGAGCAAGCTAAGAATATCACAGAAGCAGTGTTATTGCTAGAGGGTAAAAAATCAAACCATTTACTGTGGGTATTTATACATAGTCGTGTGACTGAAAAAAAGAAAGGGAAATATTAACAAATTTGGACTTAAAAACCCTTTCAAAACCAACTTTGGATTTGATTCCTAGTTTATAAGATCCCATTCTTAATATTGGAAAAGGAAATCCCTCCCAAAATCTGGAGAGGATCTCGGGGTACTATTCCTCATAAGGTGCCGGTACTGTTTCCCGTAACTCCTTCGTTGACTACCGACCACTCTCCTCCCAACTGCCTAGCTGACGGTCCCAGCAGGGTATCCTACTCGGGTATATATCCATCACTAGTCCTTCACTTTCCTGCAGCTCACTAAGCTGACGGCGCGGGAAAGTAACCTATTACTTCTTGTCTCTTGAATCATTGACACTTCTTCTAGCGAACGGTCCTCTTGGACTCAGTTATCCTTTCCTAGACGCTTCCTGCGACTTGGTCCAAGTTTTTGCGTCAAAAGCTAGGTGCTTATTCGGGCTCTCGACAAGTTGCCCCTTATGTTACTTCTACAAAGCTCTCGCACACCTTTTTCAAGGAGGTGCAAACGAGGTTGAGTGTCGACTCATTTTCTAAGCTTCCAACCGACTACCTACTTCTATAGAGTTCTCGCACTCATTTTTCAAGGAGGCGAGACAAGGCTGAGCGTCGACTATTTTTTTTAGGCTTCCAAAGGACTACCCTCCATGCTGATAAGCTCTTGTACTCCTTTTTCAAGGAGGCGCGACAAGGCTGAGCTCCGACTCCTTTACAGGCCTCCAACCGACTACCCTCCATGCCAACAAGCACTCGCATTCCTTTTTCAAGGAGGCGTGACAAGGCTAAGCATCTGTAGACAGGGAAAATTTGAAGCTTACAAATGAGCTGATTCATATGTTTTGGGCTTCATTTTGATGTAATTGGGCTAATTATTGATGTATTTGGATTAATTAAATGGTCCAATTAAATTGGCCCAATTGTCTAAATTAAATATAATTAAAGGCTAATGGACTCAAATTATATATCAGTTGATAAGGATGGATTGATCCATATTTGGCCCAGCAAATAAATATTTATATATTTAAATTGGTTATTTAATTTAAGTATGTGATAAGATACTCATATATTTAAATTAATTATTTAATTTAAATATGTGATAAGATCGTGAACCTGGATGTAATTCTGGTTAGATACATTTTGGATAAATATTCATATTATCCTAAATATTAATTGATAATATAAGGATAATATTGAAGAGTTTGAGTTCTAGCGAAGATCTCTCATATTCTCCCATATAAATAGAGTTCTTCATTCATTCCAAAGAACACACTTGAAAGATCCCTCAGAAGTCATAGAGAAGCTATGGATTATATTGAAGATCAAACCAAACTTCAAACCAAGCTAAAGGTGATTGAAGATCAAACCAAGCTAAAGGATTAAAGGTCAAACCAAGTTAATTAAACGGGAATGAAGATCAAATCAAGCTAAAGCGGATTGAAGATCAAACCAAGCTAAAGGGAATTGAAGATCAAACTAAGCTAAAGAATTGAAGATCAAACCAAGCTAAAGGGGATTGAAGATCAAACCAAGCTAAATGATTGAAGATCAAGCCAAGCTAAAGTGGATTGAAGATCAAGCCAAGCTAAAGTGGATTGAAGATCAAGTCAAGCTAAAGTGGATTGAAGATCAAGCCAAGCTAAAGTGGATTGAAGATCAAGCCAAGCTAAACTGGATTGAAGATCAAGTCAAGCTAAAGTGGATTGAAGATCAAGCCAAGCTAAAGTGGATTGAAGATCAAGCCAAGCTAAACTGGATTGAAGATCAAACCAAGCTAAAGTGGACTAAAGATTAAGCCAATTTAACACTAGAGGCCTTTCAATGAAGATTAAGCAACAAATCAGCCATTCATTGAAGAACAAGCCACATTCCGGAGGCCCTTCCGCTAAATTTTCAAGTCAAGTAAACCAAGTGGAAAATAAGAGGATTTTCTTGACAGAGATTTTGTAGCCACGCACTTTGAAATATAAATATATGTATTATTCAACTTTTTCTTGTTCACAACGTCGACTGCCTTTCCAGGCCTCCAACTGACCACTTGTTTCTACATAGCTTTTGCACTCTCTTTTCAAGGATGCGCGATGAGGTTGAGCGCTAACTCCCTTTCTAGGCCTCTAGTCGACAACCCTCCATGATGACAATCTAAGTGAACCTTCACAACTGCCTTGTCAATCTTACAGTGTAGCTAAAAAACAACACCGAGGGCACTCGACCGACAGCCCACTAGCCTACCGCTACAAACCCCCTTGTCGACTACATTTTCTTCCCTAACTCCCACCAACCAGCTTTCGTAACAGCCCCTCCTCTCATAAATGTAGCTTTTAAATCAAGACTTTTCTCATTCCCGCCTGTTTCAATTTTCAAACCTTTTCACCTCACAACCCTAATTTAACCGTCTCATCAATTGTCACATCCGCCTACCCGTCGACGAACGTCTGTCACATGTCACCATCCTCTCGTCTCCCCTTATACATAAATACCCATAGCTTTACCCTCTCCCTCTTTTACTTTTACTTTCTCCCCTCTCTGGCGCCAAGTTTTTTCGTGTCTTTCATATCCTCGTCCAGTCGTCGTCGATCTTAACTCCAGCGAACCTCTCCACCCTCGATTCCTTTCTTTTCAATTCCAGGTGCAGCCTTCTGTCATCTTTTCTTATTTTCCCACTTTTGCCCACATGTCTTCATTGTAGAATCCTCCTCCGTCTTCTCTTCCTAGCCGCCAAAGAGCTATTGACAACCCTCTAGCCTCAACTTCCTGGATGGTCGTACCCACCAGCCCTTCTTCTTCTACCCTTCTTAACCCTACTTTGATCGCCTCTACCACCCCTAACTAGATAATCACCCCTGGTTGAGATTATTTTGGAGATCTTAGCCGCTCGACTTCGTATCGGTCTACTATCACCCCTTCTAAGCACGCACGAGGCGGCTTTTAGGCCTAGCCACGAAAACAGCGAAGGAAAGCCACCAACTGGTAACTAACATTCCTAAAGGCAATTATATTCGCATCCATTATTAGTCCATCTGCTATGAATTCTGGGTGCCACTCACCATTTTCTTTCCTTCATCTTCCGCTACTTCGGCATTATACCTAGTCAGTTGGTCCCCAACTCCTACCGCCTTCTACTTCTTAACTCTATTTCGTTACTTGGAACTAGAACCCTCTATCTGTAGATCCGCCAGAGAGACGGGCATCACCTCATGACTGACCTAAAGTCCTCCCATATAAGTTGGAAGGAGGAATTTTTTTTTGTTCGCCCGGCTTCCCCTCATGCCCACTTTGACTTCCCGATTGCCTGGCAATCCTCTTATTTCCCGGTGTATATAAAGGCCCCTTACTACCTGAAGACCACGGAAGTAGTCAAAATATCGCTAGGGAATGGTTCCCTACGAGCTAGTTGGTAGTCTCAACTAAGAGTCATTCAAAAGGCCAATCTTCTATGGGCCAGCGCGGCTACCATAGGTTTTGGCCATGATCCCCCTTTTTCTAACTAGCTAGCTATTTGCTTTTATCCATCGGCTGACCAGATTCACTGCTTGTCTTTGCAAGGAACAACGATACTAAGTGTTCTTCGTCTGAGGAGTCAGAGGAGGCCGAGGAGGGGGACGAGCTTGTCGCACATGTACACCATACTTCTACCTTTGCTGCAGAGTCAACTAACCTAATCACCCAGCTTGACGAGACGTTTGACGACATGGCCGACCGTTGAGCATTCTAACTGGTGATGTTTAAGGCTCAGCTATATACCAGCGATAAGGGCAAGGTCCTCACGACCTCTGACTCTACTACATCGCCTGCCAAGTCGCCCCGTTGGTCATCGGTAGGTTACTTATTTTTGCCGCCCGAGCAGCTAAGGAGGCTATGAGGAAGGAAACGGTCAGGCATACCACCTGTCTCCCACTCTTAGGCTCCAAACACCAAGCCGCCCTTCTAATGATGCCCCGACTCCCAAAAGGATTGTGGTTGACCTAGAGGCCACTTCCAATAAGGCAATCGTAAAGGGGAAGTTCCTAGTGAATGAGTGGCTGGACAAGGCCATATTCCTAGTTGACCTGGACTCCGTTGAGGCGATTGATACTAACAAGTTGTTGGAGGCCACCACCTACCACTCTTATTAGGTAAGCAAATTTTAAATTTCTACTTATTAAAACTGTCAATGTAGGGCAATAGAACATCATAACACACTTGATGTATTGAAAAGATGTCGAGACTACAACAATGCAGCAATTAATTTGGCAAACCTAGAAAATGAAGAAATTTCAAAATAGCCACCGTTGATTCATTCATTTATCATGTATGTAAAATACTTATTGTGCATTCATTAAATATATTAGAACTAATATAAATTTGAAATTCATTTAGGGTCGTTCCAGTAAAAATAGAGGTCATGTGCGACATTTGAATTTGGGCCCCTTTTCACAAAAATATATATTAATCTAGAGTCAAGAACATTCCAATTGCTTGGATCATATATGTCAAATAAAAATGAATCATTTGGTTTATCATTGTGACCACCATCATCTAAACTACTATCAACATTCTTATCATTTTCATCGTCACAGTGATATTTATCATTGTTGTGCACACTATCATTTAATTTTTTTTCAGTCTCATAATCACATTGATCTTCTTTATGAATATTAGCATCAAACAAATTTTCATTGGCATGATCCTTTTGCCCATCTATTTGATATTCTTTTGTAATGATTTTTTCAAGAGCTCCCTTTTGAGATTGAGTTAGTTATTTGCTCGATTATTTTTTTCTTTTGACGTTTCCCAATGAATATTTTTTAGAAAACATAATTCTTAAATCCTAAGAAAAAAATTGTTTAAAATCTGTATCAATAAATAATTTATCAAGAAAAAAATCTTGAATATATTATTCAATATTTAAAATTATTAAGTCAATAAGCCATGTCAATAAATAATAATTGTAAAATAAATCAAATAATATGTACAATTAAACTAATAAGTTTTAATTAATAATTGTCATATGTCTGATGAAGAGCTTGAGGGAAAAATCTATTAACCTAGAGACTAGGGAATAAGAAAAGAGATTAGGAAAATAGAGAATAAAGAATACGAAAAGAAATTAGGAAAAATAGAGATGGGGGATTGAATTACCAGAATATCAGAGTAATAGAAGATTATGATGATGTTTTGTTCCTGTGAGTGCATGGTTACTGCCAGTGTTGCAAAACTCGCGCCTAGGTGCTGCCCGACTGCAGCGAGAAAGGGCGGAATCGGCCTCCTCTGCTACCGCCTAGCCAGCCAAACCGTCGTAAGGCTTCTTTTTTTTTTTTTTTTTTTTTTTTTTTTCCGCAACTTCAGACTAGAAGCGACAGTGACAAGGAGAAGGAAATGGGTGCAAAGGGCGGTAGTGATCGCCAATGGAGACGGCGACAGCGACAGAGACGGCGACAACGACGGAGACGGTAGAGATGACGACCACCAAGTATGGGGATGGTTGGTAGAGACGGCGACGATGGCAACGGTACTAGCTTTGTCCTTCACACCGACGCGGCGACGCCTGCCTCGATTTCGACTCCGCCTCCAACACCTCTTCGTTCTCCGCCTGCCATTGCCCAACGCCTCTCTGCTTACCGGTTGCCCTTCACCTGCCGCCTGCCTCTCCCTCCGCCTCGAACGCCTCTCCGCCTACCGGTTGCGCTTCACAACGACGACGGAGATCTTGAGGTGGGTTCAGATTTCAGTTCTGACGTTGATAAGTCATCCATCAATGCTTGGGAACTGTTAAAACGTATTAATAGTTTAATATTTTCAATACTAAATTGTCAATACGCGTGCATATGCAATAATTGCTTACCATTGAAATAAAAAATAAAAAAATAATAATAATAATAAGAAAAAAATAAATAAATCGGCCGCCCTAGGCACTAGCCTCCTGGGCGCCTAGTGTCTTTTTCAACATTGGTTAGTGCAATACTACTCTAGCCTCATAATCTCATATAATATATGTATATAAATTATTATTTTTTTAACAATTGAGCCCCAAATTTTAGGGGCCCAATTGAAAATAAAAACAATATATATATATATATATATATATATATATATATATATATATATATATACACACACACACACTATACTATACAGAAGGTCATATATTATATGTATATAATTTTATTTTATTTTTTACAATTGTGCCTCCAAATTTTGGGGGCTCAATTGTTAAAAAAAAAATAAAAATTATATGTATATATTCCATCAATCGTTATGCTGTGGAACAATGTCCACCTTGCAAGATGGACACGGTTCTATGTTCATAATTACTGAACTATATGTTCATATTCATAACTTTTGAACTTCATATTCATAATTATTGAATTTTATGTTCATAATTACTGAACTATATGTTCATAATTATAAAATTATATATTCATAATTTTTGAATTTCATATTCACAATTATTGAATCTCTATATTCATAATTATAGAACTATATGTTCATAATTATGTTCACAATTCTATGTTCATAATTATAGAACTATATGTTCATAATTTTTGAACTATATATTCATAATTAAGAATAGTTTTGGAACCGTGTCCACCTTGCAAAGTGGACACGATTTTACATAATAATTTGCCATATTCCATACAGCAGAATGCACTTGTTGTATAGTATATATACATACAGGGGCGGAGCCACCCCTTGGGTTAGGGGGGCTCTGGCCCCCCACCCCCCATTTTTAGTAAATATATAGGTATATATTATTATAATATGGATAAATTACACTTTTATCCCCTCTCCTAATTTTTTTTTAAAAATAATCTATTATGTATATATTAAATGAACTCGAAAGTTACATTTTTCGTCCCTAATTTATGGGATAATTATAAAATTCATCCATAATTGTTGGTTGTGTTCACTTTTCGTTCCTAAGCTATAATTGACGTTGCAAATTTCGTCCTTTTAATAACAGGTTGTGGTCACTCTTCCTTTCTAAGGAATACTTCGGTCCTAATGTTTTGTTAGTAAAGGAACAAAATTTGCAACATCAATTACGGAGTATATTTTAGGGACGAAAAGTAAACACGACTAATAATTATGAATTCTTCAATTACCTTATAACTTAGTGATTAAAAGTGTAATTTTTCCTATTTTTTACTATTGTATATTTTTTGTGTTATGTAAAAAATTCAAAAGTAATGTTTGACAATCTTAACGATCGTACTAATATAATTATATATTTCATATATTATTGCACATAGAATAATTAAAAATAATTATCAATAATAATTGACACAATCATATATGGTAATATGGTATATATATAATAATATTGTGCGATTGGTACTAATATCTACTAAGATGATAAATTTCCTTCCGCCATTGCATACATATGATGTATTATGGGGCCCCAAACATTGAGGCTTGTGCAATGGCCATGGGCAAACATGCCCAAGGCCAACCCTGAATTCATTTCATCGTTTAGACTTAACCTGCTTAGATTACAAGTAAAATCAATATAACCTTCACAACAAAAATACTTGGTATATAGGATGTAGTCACTATTTTTTTTAAAAAAAAAATTTATGCACAAAATAGAAAAAAAAAATCTAACTTGAAGGTTAATATCAATTCAATAAAAAAATTAAAAATAAAAATAAAAAAACACACGCACACAAAATCAAGTACTACACTCATTCTTACTAATTTTAAAAATATGAACTTGAAAATGAACATGTGAAAAATAGATGTAGAAATTATTGATGAAACTAGACACGTTGCAGCATCAGTATTCGGACTACCTGCAGAGTTATTTTTGTTACTATCAAGTGATGAACAAATTATGAAATTAGAACAAGAGATACTACTCATGAACCTTATACAAATATAATAAATATTAATATTTTATTCAATACTTCCACATGAAACATGTAGCGGAACAAACTACCAATGCAAAATACCAACATGAGCTTGCAAGATCAAGAGTTCATAGTACAACTAAGATCTCAATCATATACGCAACAAAGAAAATCCACAGCTTCCTACACCATAATCTCATTGCATGACACGGTCATCTATGCAACAACAACAGTAATCCAATTGCAAATAATACACTAACAACAAAAAGGAAGATGACAAATAATGAAGATGAAAACAATGATAATGCTACTCAAAAGAGAATTAAGAATGCTTATAAAAATTCAAATCAAAAGTAGTATTTATTTAGATTCTCGTTTTTAGACAAAGTATTTAGACTATTAATTGTACAAAGTTGCAAACATTTATTATAGTTACAATTATAATGAATTTCTTATATTATCTTGCATTCATATACTTTGAGTTACATATTTAAATAAATAAATTTGACATTTAATTACCTATGTATAAAATTTTTCTATATAATCTTGCAATATACTTTCAAATATTTAGTTATTATTAAATTATATAAATATAATAAGTGCGAATGAAGGTTATATTTTTCATTTATGTCCGTTTTTTCCGTTAAGTTTTTTTATACATTATACTATAAAAGTTGTATTATACAATATTTTGGACAAACATACCATTACCATTATAACTTCCGTTATTTTTTCCACTATTGTTACTATGTATATGCATCCACTATATATTTTCTTATCTTCTTCTTCTTCTTCTTCTTCTTCTTCAATAATAATAATAATAATAATAATAATAATAATAATAATAATAATAATAATATACACGTTATATATTGGAGTTATATGTTAGTTATTTCTTAAAATATAAATATCAAATTTATAAAAACGTTTTACATTATTATTATTATTATTATTATTATTTACAATATATTTAAAATATTAAAAATTTAAATAATTTTAAAATTTTAATATAAAGTACTTAATATTGAGCACCTATTTTTTGCGTATAGCGTATGCATAAAAAAAGACTAGTATTTAAATATAAATATTGAGTATTCCTCATTCGCACTACTAACTATGAAAAATACAAAACGATAGTACAATAGAAGTGAATGTCTTCGGGCCCAGACGTCCAGTTTTGAGTTTTCCCACCGCTCGCAGATGTCTCCGATCACTCAATGAATTCAAATCGCGCAAAATTCCGATCGCCGCCGCAACTAACTTCCCCAGGGTTTCCAAACTATGATTCCCTCAAAATCTCAATGACTCCCAGCACCAAAATGCCGAAGAGATCAATCCTCAAACCAACCCTAACCCTCGCTGTTCTCATCTCCCTTTTAGCTCTCTACGCCTTCCTCAATTCCTTCATCTTCTCTACTCCTCTGTCCATCAACAATGCCATTGGCTTTGCTGATTTCGGAAGCAACGCAGAGTATTTCGGGGCGAAACATCCAGTGCCTGTGAAGGTTTATATGTACGATCTGCCCAGGAATTTCACCTACGGGGTGATCGAGAGCTACAATTTGGCCCGTGGAGGGGAGAGGGTAGAGGACGACGCATTGCTTAAGTACCCCGGCACTCAGCATGCCGCCGAATGGCACCTCTTCACCAGCCTCCGCTTACCCAATCGTGGCCGGGCCGGGTCGGCCGTCCTTCCAGTGTCTGACCCCGATCAGGCTGACCTCTTCTACGTGCCTTTTTTCTCGTCTTTGAGCCTTGTTGTGAATCCTGTGAATCGGCCGCCCTCAGGGGATCGGCCTGTGTATAGTGATGAGAAGACGCAGGTAGGAATTTCAATTGCCCTGTTTAATAGTTACTTATAAGGGTTGATTATTTTAGCTATGTTGTACAGATAATTTTGTTCCTTTTTCAAGCTTTTTTAATGTTGGAATGCATTTAGCAGTGCAGGCTGTCAGGTAATGAGTATATTTAAGTAGAAATCATGGATATTTATAGTTGGAAATAGAAATTTTGAAATTTTTGTTTACCTTACCAATGTTGCAATTAGTAGTAAGTTTGGAACTGGGGTTGGTATGTAATTGCTGGCTTCTCTGATTCTGGTTCCACTTTATATCATGGTAATTTTCCATATTTTTGTGTTTGTATCATCAGTCAGTTTTTATTAAGCTTTTTATGCTTGTATATGTAGGATGCTTTGATCGAGTACTTGGGACAGCAAGAGTATTGGAAAAGGAATAATGGGTGGGATCATGTATTCATATGTCAGGATCCTAATGCCTTGTACAAAGTTGTGGATAAGGTGAAGAATGGGGTGCTATTGGTATCAGATTTTGGTAGGTTGTCTCGTGTTCAGGCCTCACTAGTTAAGGATGTTATCATGCCTTATACATATCGGATTAATCCATATCAGGGAGATATTGGGATACAAAACCGCAAGACTTTGCTCTTCTTTATGGGGAATCGGTATCGAAAAGAGGTAGCAATCGCCAATCAGATATTTTTGTTAAAATTATTGGCATTAATGATATGGTATCGGGCCTACATCTTAATTGTTTTATTAGTTCTGATTATATCAAGATTAGGTTGTGACCTGTCTAAGCTACTGACTGATATCTGATTTAGGCACTGTTTTTGAAACATTGTGGTGTCATATAACTTAAGCTATCGGTGATGACATGTGCAATCTGTAGAAAATATGTTCCAAGATAGATAAATCTAGGCATTCAAGAAAATTCTTTGAAATTTTCAACACGCTAAAAATATCAATGTTTAAAAATCACTAGGTGCACAACTAAAAAAAATTGGTTCTTTTTTTTTTTTTTTTTTGCATGCATATGGCATCCTAGTTTTTTAGACTTCTAGCAAGTATTCCTCCCATAAAATGTACATTTTCAATAGCACATAATACTCTAACCATAACAAAGCAAACAAAATTATACATAACGGTGCCTAGTCCGCTGATCACATAGAAGGCTAATTTTCCCTTCTTCCCTTTGGTCTAGGGATGTCTAGAGCCTATTTGGCGCCTAAGCCGATTTTTATGACACTAGAAAATGCCATTCATTCTTTTGTGGACAATAAATTAACCAAAGCAATAAAAATCATTATGATGCCACACACAATAATTTGGTGAAGATAGAAATGGTTGATTTCTTTATTGCACAAAATTATTTTGTGCAGGCTCAAATTCTCTGCCATGTGTATATATCATATATGATCTTTAGAGTAGTTTCTTTGGGGCACATTTACAGTTTGATTGCTAATGCTGGTTCTTAATTTTTTTTTTCTTGTTTCTTTTGGGCACACTGTTATAACGATTGGTTTTGCACACTATATAATTTTTGCAATCATTGACATATAGTTTATTTCTTTTATATTGCAGGGAGGAAAAATTCGTGATATACTTTTTCAAGTGCTTGAGAGTGAAACTGATGTCATTATAAAACATGGTACACAGTCCAGGGAGAGCCGCCGTGCAGCAACACAAGGGATGCATACATCAAAATTTTGCTTACATCCAGCTGGTGACACTCCATCAGCTTGCCGTCTATTTGATGCTATTGTGAGCTTGTGTGTCCCTGTTATTGTTAGTGACTATATTGAATTGCCTTTTGAGGATGTCATAGACTACAGAAAGATAGCAATTTTTGTCGATTCGAACACAGCAATAAAGAAAGGAGCCTTGGTTAAACTTCTTAGGGGCATGAGTATGGAGAAGATTTTGGAATTGCAGCGGGAGTTAAAGAAGGTATTTTCCATGAATGAACTCTGGTATCACATTTTACTCTTTTTTGTTGTCTACTTTTTATATTTTTTGTCGCCAGTATCATTCCATTTCACTCATTAAAATGGTTGGACCATATACCTACATAAATATCATACATCATGCATGTTTAAGAAAGGAAAATGCTTTAGGCTTACTTTTCTTAGAAGGAGGTTAGTTGAACCTCCATGTTATAGTCAGCCGCCAGCCACCAGCCACCAAGCTCTTGGCTACTTTGCTCAAAACACTAAACAAAGTTTGGAGAAGGGGTGTGGGGGTGGAGGACCTTGGTGGTGCCATGCAACTGAAGCTTTCAACTAATCCCTCCCTGCCACCACATCTTTATTACAGTTTCCTGTTACTTTGTTTTTTTGTTATTTTAAGTTTATGGTTTCTAAATCTTTTCATCTTTTAGGTGGTGTTTGGTTTGGGTCTTTTGCCCTCTACTATGGGTTTTGATACCCATTTGCATGTTTGTTTGCCTACTTTTGATATCTTACTATTGGATTCAAATCTTTAGTAATTTACAAAATCCATTACTATTTTACTCCTCTACTTTTGAAGAATGGAATAAAATAAGGGAGAAAAAAATGAAAAAAATAAAAAGGTCATTGTCCATGCATTAAATATGAAATTTTAATATATATACACACATATGTATGTGTTATATATATGTATTATAGATTTTTATATACTTATTTATTTTTATTTTAATTAATTAGTTATTTCTTTATTTATTTTGATTCCAATTCCCATGTACTACCAAACAAAGTGTCTCCTACTTAAACTCATTACTATTACCAAGTATTTGATTCTCATTACCATTCCGTTTCCAATGTTCAAACCAAGTGCACCCTTAGTCTTTTTGCCCCATTAATTTGTTAGGATACATGAAAAATTGAAAACCAATTGAACTGCTAGTGGCTGTGTTAATGAATTTGTGTTTTCTTGATGGGAACTCTCCATGACTTGTGGGCTTTGTTTCAAATGTCAGCATACTAATCTGATTCCTTAACACATAATGTAGTTTACAGAAGTGTAATATTTTTGAAATTTTTTTGCCTTCAGGTTAAACATTATTTTGTATATGATGACCCCAATGGAGCAGTAAAAGAAATATGGCGACAGGTTTCGTCAAAGTTACCCCACATTAAACTGATGATCAATCGTGATAAACGACTGCTGAAGAGAGACTTGAATGAACCGGATTGCTCCTGTCTCTGTTCTAACCAGTCAGGGATTCACACGACGCTATGATACTGCTTCATTTCATTTAATTCATTGGTTCACAGCTGAGCTCATATATACGCAGAGTATCTAAAAGTTAAAAAGTTTAAAACATCTTTATTTTTGAGTCTTACATATTTTGTATTGCCCTGAATATGGGTGTGAAAGTTGTAAAATTTAGGAGCAACACTATGATGTATATCTATATTCTGTATTATGTTAACAAGAATAATGTACTCTCTCACTCTGTTGCAAAAATTGGCCATAAACATTTTTTTTTTTCTGCAGCACGCACCTAAACATTTTTAAATCAACCTTGTAAATAGTTTGAGGCATGCCACGTACAAAACTAAAACCGAAAATTCTCTGCGGAATGCCACATACTAGTTATAAAATCAACGTAATCTATATGGCACTTTTTTCTTTCAAGGAGATTGAAAATAATGTGCTAGATATTATTTTGTATAATGTATGTATGTATGGATTTAATTTATCCGGGTGTTCGAATTAATTAACCTGATTAATTTATAGAATATGACAAGCGTAATATAACGGTAACAAGAGACAAATATTGATAAGTCACAGGGACGACTATTGTATTAATAATGTGTAACGGTATTACAAGAAGGAATTTATGCAATAACAAGACAAGTATAAGATAATGAAGGAAATTATGTCTCAATAGGACATAAGGGAGTGTTTTTATACTCCAAATGGGCCCTAACTAGTCCAAAGAAGGTGGTGGGAAGCTGTAACTGTCTTGGATCGCAACCAATGCCGTAAGACTCGGTCAACGCGAAGACCTCGTCACTCGATCGAGCACGGAGCTTGGCCCAAGTGGCCGACCCCGTGGCCAAGGTGGCCGACCTCGTGGTCAACCCTGGAGGCTGGCCTCATGGCCAAGCGCGGGGCTTGGCCGTGCCTGAGTTGGTCGGGTCCGGTTTTGGATTCCCTCCGGTACTTCGAACTTGGTTCACTCCATGTTGTCCCGCTCCGGATCCATTTGTAATTATTGCATCATCAATCCCCCACTCTCTGAGCTGCGAGAAGTCGTTAGCGAAAGAGAGTAATCTTACTCCACGACCTTGCACAACACGATGCTACTTCCTCCAAAACACAGCACTAAAGTCACACACGTATATGTATATTTTTCATCAACAGTTTGCGCTTAATAATCTTTTCATTGCATGAGTGAGCTCTAAAGTTTGGGGTCCGACCTCTAACCAGTGCAAGGACCTGAGCTCCACACCTTACACGGGTTGGGCTCCCAAGCTTGAGGTCCAAACTTCCATGGGTGCAAGGACTTGAGTTCTTGCTCCCCAACCCAAGCTCATTGGCTTGGGCCCTTTGTGCTAAGCCTTTCCACTCGAGCTCCATGCGTCAAGCTCTTCAACTTGACCTCCTCAACCTGAGCCCCTTGATGAGCTCTTCAACTCGAGCTCCTCGTGATGATATCTTTAACCTGAGCCCCTTGTGTTTGTAGCGGTCGAGCTTGTGATCCTCTAAGTTCCTTGAGTTGAACTCAACAAGCCTGGAGCTTGGTTTCTCGGAGCAGAATGACTCCTTCACCATGAGCTCGGTATGTCACGGGCCCAACTACCCGAAATGAGGTGTGGCCTTTGGCATGGGCTCAACAAATCACGACATCAACTTTGCGTGGGTAGGTTCTTCAACGCGGGCTTGGCTTCTCGAAGGATGGGGAGAAAGATGAGCTTTCTGGTGTGAACTCGGAAATCATGAGCATGTATATCCGAGACAAGCCGAGTCCCTCAATGTGTGCTCGACAAAAGGGGAGTTTGATCAAGTTGATGTTGGCCATGAACCAAAGTTGGGCTAGCTTAGGTCTCTCCCCCTTCATGGAATTGAGGTTGGCAATGTGGGATCCCCTAAGATGCCTCAAGGCCGAGTGGAGGGGGTTGGACACCTCCTTGGAGCCCCTCCACGAGGTGGGTCAAAAAATTTGCAGCTTGTTAGATCACGACCACCCCTTCTTGGAAACCCGGGACCTAAGGTGGGACGGGAGGAGCCGACCCGCCATGGCGGTTATTGTTGATTCGATCCCTGAGATCCCCCGCCGACCCCACGGGTAGTGTTTGCCGACTAGGCGTTGCTCTGTTGGGGTCATTTGCATGGGAGGGGTTACCGGTGTTGTGTGAATTGTGGGTGATACTGCTAATTCTACGTAAGCAATATAAAATAAACCCGAGACCAATTAAAGCAAGTAAAAGACTTTATTGATCACGGTAAAGGCCCTAAGTACAATCTACTTGGTTGCTCTGAGTGCCGACTGACTGCGGTCGGGATTCTCTAGTAACAACCTATCGATCGTCCAAAAGTCCTCTACACTGTAGCTACTGTGGGTATTTATAGCCGCTGTGCCAGGGACAAGTATCCGGTCGTTCGGCATGTTCTCCACGTAGCCACCACGTGTCATCTTCCCGGGTGCCCTGTCTGTCGTCGTAAAGAGCTGTCACATGTCCCTTGTCAGCTCTCTCGCCAAAGGGCTACCGCTCGGCGGTCGACACTACTGCTCGGGCAACTCCCGGTCAGATCCCGACCGGGTTCTTCGCATGAAGCCCGACCTGTTACCTGCAAAGACAAAGAGAGAAAAACAAAGGCAAATCGGTCGTGGTGAAGCTTATGTCGGTCGGGATATTCCCTACCAAAAGCCCCCCAGCCCGGGCCTTTTTGACCGTCCGGGAAAAAACGGGACGGGATGAAGAAGCCCAAACGTCGGCCAACAAACCGACCGACCAGCTGTCATTCCTTCCCTCGCCACGTGTCGGCCACTGCTGGCCTCGACGACTGCAACGATCGCCTCGGAATCAGTGCGGGTCGTGTCACGCAAGTGGATTGGTTTCCCGCCTAAATGCTCTCCTATAAATAGGCCCTTGAGGCCTTCAAATGAACTTTCCTCAATCTTCTGATCCAATCGGCACCCTCTGAGAGTCCCGAGCGAGCTACTCAGCAGATCAACCGAGCAACTTCTCAACCAACTTCAGCCAAGTTTCTCCAATCGGTAAACTCTCTACTCTTTAGCTTTTACTTAGCTTTTAACTTTGCGTAGGAGTAGGATAGAACTAACTTCGAACTAACTTCCCGAACCCTGTACTAACCCCGACCGACCTTTAGGTAGAACTAAATATGTCGGACTCGGATAGCCAGAACGCTTCAGTCGCAGACTACGACAACACGGTCGAGCAGAGTAGCGAGGAGGTGGACATCATGTCCTACTCTCCAGAGGTCGAGCAACGACCACAACACATACCCGAGCAAGCTCCCGAGCCAGAAGGGTCGTCGAGCTCGTCGGGGACATCCGGATCGAGCTCCAGCGGGTCGGGGAGCGATGAGACATCCACGAGCGGACGAAATTCCCCGGATGCGGGCGTTAGGGAAACGCCTACGAGGGTAATAGGGGATTACCCTCGAGCTGAGCCCGAGGTGGAACACCGGGCACACGAAGCGGAAGCAGTCGAGGAAGACTCGGCTGGGCCGGCGACGCCAAACGGGGACGGATTTGAGTTCCTCAACAGCGAGAGCGTCGAGGGCCAGATGAGCTTGCTGACGAAAGGAGAAGTGAGCAGAATCGCAGCAACTCTCGCTGGTCGGGTCGAGTTCGACACCAGCAGGCAGCTCGGGAATATCATCGAGCGGCATCAGGGGAAGTGGATCGGGATGCATTACGATTCGTTAATGGCCCCGATCACGTTCCCCTTCTCCAGCCTCCTCACCGCATTCCTGGGCTACTACCAGGTTATGCCCGGGCAGATTTGCCCAAATGCGCACTGTATGATCGCCTGCTTCCCCCAGATATGCAGTCGGCACCAATTAGCCTGCACCATGGAGCTTTTCAACTACGTCTACCAGGTGAAGGTGCTGGCGGCCGCGTACGGGGGTGGATTCTTGATGACCCAGTCCCGAGCGGATAAATGCTCGATCGAGGGACTGCCCGGGAACAACCGGGGGTGGAAGAACCGGATCTTTTCGGTGAAATGCGATCTGTGGATCCTCCCGGTCGAGAGGGTATGGAGTCAGCATTTTCGAAGGCAAGTCGTCCCAATCGAGACTCAGGCCCTCATAGATGCTGTGACCAAGATCTCGAGCGAGATCTACGAGTATCGCATCTTTAAGTCGCCCGAGTGCTACGAGGCGGCTCAACTCCTCGCTCCGGTCTACGACCTGACCGAAAAATACAAGCCCGAGCCGGGGGGAGTAACAATTGCAAGGATGCCCGCTCGGGGCAAAAGGAAGGGTAAAGGTTCGAGGCTAACTACTTTCCCCGACCCTTTATATCCCTACTGCTTTTTATCTGCTCGACCTAACTGTTTCTTTTTTATTTTGCAGAAATGGCCGAGTTTGGAGACGACGACACTTCTCTTCCCCCACCCGCCAAGATTTCCCTTGGCGGCAAGAAGAAGGCGAAGGGGAAGCCAACCGGGCAGAAGGAGATTCCAGTGGCCCGACCTCTGGGGACCTCGACCATCACAACGGCCGAGGGCTTCGTGGTCGAGCCCAGCGACGTGCTGGTCACCCGGGTGGAAGTCGCCCGGGGCAAAGAAAAAGCGCCCGAGCGGGGCGTAACCGAGGTGGGCGGTATGAAACGCCGCCGGGAGCAGCATAGCCCGAGCCCGTCAACCGGGCGGAACCAGGACGAGTCGTCCATACTGGCCCGGATCGGGAACGCCGGGCCAGTCAAAGAAGATTTGGGAAAGATGACCCCCACTCAAGTGGCCGAACGGATTGGCCACGACCTGGCCGAGGTAAGCACCTTTCTCTCTAAACATTTTTCAAGTGCTTCTGGTCGAGCTGACTAACATTTCCATTGCAGATCTCCCGATCGGCTCAACTTCTCCAAGGCCGGGCAATGCTAGCCGAGGAAGCCGACCGACACAAGAAGATGGCTGCTCGGCGTCTTCAGGAGGTTAAGGACGTCCAGGCCGAGCTGGAGAAAGTCCAGAAGGCCTTGAAGAAGAGTGAGGAGGACCGGGTCCTGGCGGAGAAGGTCGCCCAACGGGCGATCGGCGAAAACAAGGAGCTGAAAACCCGCTTGGAGAGTCCGGACGAGCTGGCCCAATCAGCTTTCAAGGACGACAAGATAGGCTCGGCCTTCCTCACAGCCGCTCGATGGACCAAGGTCGGGGAGGACCTAATTCTATCTTTTGGTCGGTGGGCCTTCAAGGCCGGCCAAAGGAAGATGCTGGAGAAGGCCCAAAAACAATTGGGGCAAGCTCTCGAAGGAGACGACCT